GGGTAAGACAAGCATTGGCAAACTGCTCCTGAAGTGTCATTTAGGATCATAGAATGGTTTGGGTTGGAAAGGACCTTAAGATCATCCAGTTCCACCCCCCTGCCATGGGCAGGGATACCTCACAGTAGACCATGTCTATTCATTTCCTATAACATGGAATAGTGTGTACAGTTCTGGTGTCCTCAACATAAAAAGGACATGGAACTGTTGGAACAAGTCCAGAGGAGGCCATGAAGGATGACAAAGAGGGCTCAAGCACCTCCTGCATGAAAACAGGTTGAGAACATTGGAGCTGTTTAGCCTGCAGAAAAGAAGTGGCTCGGAGAACTCAGAGCAGCTTCCAGTGTCTGAAGGGGGCTACAAGGATGCTGGAGAGGGACTCTTCATCAGGGACTGCAGTGATAGGACAAGGGGTGATGGGTTCAAACAGAAACAGGGGAAGCTCAGGTTGGAGATAAGGAAGAAGTTCTTTACAATGAGGGTGGTGAGGCGCTGGCACAGGGTACCCAGAGAAGTGATGAATGCCCCATCCCTGGCAGTGTTCAAGTCCAGGTTGGACAGAGCCTTGGGCAGTATGGTCCAGTGTGAGGTGTCTCTGCCCATGAGAGGGGGTTGGAACTGGATTATCTTAAGGTCCTTTCCAACCTAAACCTTTCTGTGATTCTATGATTCCATGATTTTAACATACTCTGATTTTCTAGCCCTACTACTTCTGCTTGAACCACTTTCCAAACAAGAAAATCAACAGGAGCTTCTGGTTCATGCATTCCCACCAGCTAGTGGATAGCTTCTGTGCTCAGCAACTACCCACTCACATGATGTCTGAAGCTGTCTGCATATTATTCCCTTAAGTACCAGGCATGTTCCTATAGATCTAAATTCAGCTCAGAATTTGCTGTGGTTTGTGCAGCGATTAATGGAAGGTCTGAGCTTATTTTGTGCTGCCAGTGCTGTAATCAGTTTACTTGGGGATTCTCTTCTGGGATTAACAACTCTGCAAAGATGGTTACGTCAGACACCGTTCCCAGAGGTACAAATGCCATTTTTGACATGATTAACTGAGGAAGGTTGCAATTATAAATAGACATATATGGGTCTGGCAGGAACTAAGGAACTGTGTAGCAAAGGGATGCTCCAAGCCTTTTTTCACCCTGACTGATTGACAGTTTATGTCACTCTTATGAGCAGTGTGTTTCTTGGGCATTGAACTCCTGGGACCAGGTCTTTTGCCAATGTAAGTTTAAATCTGTGCCCAGTCTGCACTGGGGAAGGCCAGATGATGTCTTCACACCAAAATATTGCATGTTGCATTGCAAATTGCCTGATACTTTAAGCAGAGATGAACTCCAACTTATTCCACTGCTGTTACACCCACTTTCATGTGGTGTGAAGTGAAGCAGATTTCAGGATATTACATTTTAGAGGACTGAATTTTAATGAGTATCTGTTAACCTCTACAGTCCCAGCTATAACAGACACACTGTGATTCAATACAGACCCACTCTGACAACTGTTTGGTCTCCCCAGAGAAATTCCTGCCTGTTAAGAGGTATAAGAGGACTGTAATGTCTCCTGGGTTGTTCCTCAAGCATCATATAAAGATGTCTTGCAGGATAACGCCGTTCCTCTGGGTATGGGAAATAGATGCTCTGAGCTTTGTAGAGTAGGTGGCCTTTCTCTCACCTCTGATACTTGGAAAGATCTGCATCTAGTTCAGATCCCTTGCTGGGACTCCCAATATATCAGCAATATGTCAGCTGATATATAGATGTAGATATAGATATAGATATAGAGGTGGAGATGGAAATGGAAGTAAAGATGGATAGGTAAGATAGATAGATGATAGATAGATAGATAGATAGATAAAGTTAGATACTTGGCTGCCCATGAGATGAATGAGCCTTTGGAGGTGCCCATCTATATCCACTTGCTATGAAGGAAACCTAGATAACCAGTTCAAACATACATATATAAAGCTAACATATATATATAATTCAAATATATATATATATATATGGCTCAAGTTGAATTAGATGTGATCCACAATACAAGGGGAGAATTGCACTCCAAGACCCAGACAAACCTTTTCCACCCCTCAGACTTGGTCTCAGCATGCTCTTCAACTCCAGTTAGTGATCCAGAGTTTAGATGGTCCAAAGCCCCCCTGGTTCAGTGCATGCCCATAGTAATCTTTCACATCCTTCCAAAAGGCTTTATAAAAAGTTTTTGAATGGAGGTTTTTATATCCAACCATTTCTGGGAGCTCTGTCTGCAATAGAAAACATCCACTATCATTTAGTTATGAAAAAACATCTCATAATGGACATGGGTGTCAGATAATTTTCTGTGCTCTTCTGCAACCAATAACAGCACCTTATACACAGATAAAAGGAAATGAAGGAGTAAAGGGAGCTGCCCAGCCCATGACTGAGATGCAACAAATTCACAGAGCCTTTTTCTCTTGCTTTTTCACTTTCAGGTCACTTCCTGGACCTTTATGCACATTTTCTTCCATCAGCTTTTGCTTCAGTCAAAGTGAGAAAAGTACAAACAAAATGCAATGGCCAGGGTGATGCTGCTGAGCAGAGCCTGCTATTTCTGGCTGGATCCTTTTAAACTTGGGGATGGCTCTGCAAGCCTTATTTACACTTTATTTACTAAACTCCTTCTGACAGCAAACACAGCAGCTTTTCTGCCCTCCTCTCCAATGCTGGGCAGAAGGACTCATGCAGGCAGAACTGCAGTGTCCATTGACTGGCAGAAAATGTGATGGGAATGGGTGTGAATCCTTGCTGTTAGAGGAATAGAAGGGAAAAAGGAGCAGTAACACGTGTTTAGACATCTGCAGAGACCCGTTCATAAGAGACCACTGCAAAGTCAAATGGGGAAAAGGCTTCCTGGAGACCTCAGAGCAGCTTTCAGTACCTGAAGGGTGCTACAAGAATGGATAGGGACTTAATCACAGGCTGCAGTAATAGAACAAGGGGTGATGGGCTCAAACTGAAACAGGGGAAGTTCAGGTTAGATATAAGGAAGAAGTTCTTTACTGTGGTGAGGTGCTGGCACAGATTGCCCAAAGAAGTGGTGAAATCTCCATCCCTGGCAGTGGATTGAGGTTGAACAGGGCCTTGGGTGCCATGGTCTAGTGTGAGGTGTCCCTGCCCATAGCAGGGGGTTGGAACTGGATGACCTTAAGGTCCTTTCCAACCCAAACCATTCTATGATTCTATGACAATGGTGCCTCACACTGGGTGAATAGACTACCTTCTTCTGATACAAACTTTAGTGGCCCACTTAGAGATGGAACACACCAGCTGTTTAGCAGCCCAAAGCAACACCAAAAACACAGTGCCAGGCAGCAAAGAGAAATTCTGCATGGAAATGAAATGGCTGGGAGAACTGAAGCAGATAGGATGTAATATCTCAGCAGGGTGCAACCACAGCACCTGCAGGAGCACCATTAATCCAATAAAAAACACCATCTGGTTTGCTGAACTCAGTAGCATCCTGAGCATCGTGTTGTCTACCAGGTACCCTGTAGTAAAAATAGCATGCAGGTGGTACACCCCAAGACAGGTCCTAGAGCATCCTCCCACCCAGATCTTTGGGTTCCTCTCTGCAGATTCATCATGTGTGGCTTGGATGAGCTCTTACAACATGCTAGTCAATGAGCTTTTATGTGACAGAAATTCTTCCAGTCATAGAATCATAGAATATGGAATGGTTTGGGTTGGAAAGGACCTTAAGATCATCCAGTTCCAACCCCCTGCTATGGGCAGGGACACCTCAAACCCTGTCCATAGCAGAAACCTTAGGTCACTTTCAGCTTTGAAGGTAAAATTAAATGAACATAATCCAAGTAAAACCATAAAGAAAGAGGAACATGAACCATCAAGAGGAACATGAACCAACAAGCATAGAACAGTGATGAAGACACTCATGGGTTCAGCAGTTTCCTTACCAAACTTTCTTAGGTCTTTTGCTTTATATGATGCCAAGATCTACACTTATCTCCCACAAGAACTTTTGGCCTCCTTGTAGGTATAAATCCAGAGTAAATAGGAATAAGGCAAAAAAAAGTCACAGGAACATCATTAAGTCTTTCAAAGAGTTACCATTCACCAAGATTGCTTAAAGGTCAGGCTAAGGATGAAGGAGATATACAGAGCACAGAGGTATGATTTTGATGGGTACCTTTTCAATGTAGACTATATCACCTTACCCCAAGAGTGACATTTAAACCTAGTGAAAATCATTGGCATATATCTTTGGCACATTCAGACCCCTCCCACAAGTCACCTCCAATTAAACATTAATTAGCTCCAAAATATCAGCCCTTCTGCTGCTTGTTTGAAAGGATGCACTGCGGGCACTGACAAAATAGCTCAGCGTGACTTACAAGCATAAATGCACTTAAACCTGGTATCTAACACTGCACAGAACAAAGGAGAACTGACGTGCTGGTGATCATAGTTCCAGTTCTGAAATAACATGTCCACTGCTGTAATTACACAGTAATTTGAGTCTAACATACACTTGCTGCTCCCCAGAAAAACAAGTGTATAGTTTTTCTTCCTCCTTCAAGTTTTGTCATGGTAAAATGTAAATCCTTATGTGAATGTGTTACTGCCCAGTTGAAGGAATATTGCCAGCAAGCATGGAGCAAAATGAAGCTTTGGTTGCATTAAAATTGCCATGAGTTCCCTCCCCTCTTCCCCCTTCCCTACCACTCTTCTCCTCTCCTCTCTTTTCTCCCTCTTGTTCCCCAGTGTGTGAAGTTCCAGATTACTGGAATTTCAGCCAGAGTTGGCACTTATGTGCATTTAAAAACCATGATCACTTTGGGTGCAAGGGGCATTGGGAGTTTCAGTGCAGCTTTTGAAATCAAAAAACAAAACAGTGACTAATGGATTTTGAAACAACTCCACAGCACTCACACAAGGATGGGACAGTTGACTATATGCATACTTATATATTAACCAACACAAGGGATGCTGGAGGACACTGAAGATTGTTTATCTATAGCACTATGTCACTACAATGGATGCTGGCATGGTTTTTGGCCTTTAGCAACTACCACCACCCCTCCAAGCTCATTCTTTGCACTTGGTGCTTCTTCTAGGAGACCATGTAGCAGCGGGACTTGAAGAGTCAGGAGTTTCCTCTGTTCTCCTGATCTGTGTCTATTTGGTCAAGCTGTAGGAGTTCAAGCACCACCACAAGTCACCTTCCTGGTCAGATCCCTGAGTACAGCAGACAATGCATTTAGTTTGGAAACAACACTGTCCGACTTAAATAACCAATAGATAATGAAAGGAGCACTGACCATGGCAATTGTAACACTATAGGAATTACTGGAATAAATAAATAATGCTTTACTGGGAGCATTTTTGTAGTGAAACCAACTGCAAAGAGATGCAAAATAATCTTGCTGGTAATGGCCAACATTTATCACATTCACAGATTCATTGAGCCATTCTGCACACCTGAGGCTGCTAACAATGTGGGGGACGGGGGGAGTTACACTAAAGGCCAACATATGGCAGTAAATCTGGAGTAGCTGAAAACTGTGATAAATTCACAGTAATAATGCAAGATGCTTCTGGAAAAGTTTTGGGGCCGTGCCTTCCCATTTGCCCTGCAAAGAGTTATCAAGGTACAGGATTAAAAGCATCTTTAAATTAAAATTAAAAAAGCATCTTTAAATTAAATTAAATTAAAAGCATGGTAATGATTTAAGTGCAAAAAAGTGTGAAATTCAGTTTTAAGAGCAGATTTCTTGAAGCTAACTCTAAATATTAGGCATCTGCTGCAAGGCAGGATTTTACAACAGTCACAGAGGCAAACAGTCACCTCTAGACATCATTTCTGAGAAGCAGGGTGACCCGCCTATGAGAAGCCTTATTCATTTGTTGGGATTTAAGCAGTTGCATGGTTAAGAATAAGAACAGTCCAGTAACTAAGGTATAACACAAAACCACTACTGCTACCACCAATAATAATGCTAAGGGAAGTAACAAGGGGAGAGAATATAATACCAAAAGGGGAAAAGGAAAAGAAAATAGTAAACACAAGTGATGCACAATACAATTGCTCACCACCCACTGACAGATACCCAACTCGACCCAAGCAGCAATCTGGGCCTTCTGGGTGACTTCCCCAAGTTTCTATACTGGGCATGATGTTCTGTGGCATGGAATACCTCTTTGGCTAGTTTGGGTCAGGTGTCCTGTCTGTTTCCTTCTGGCTTCCCCTCCTCACTGGCAGAGCATGAGACTGAGAAGTCCTTGATCAGGGTAAGCACTACTTAGCAACAACTAAAACCATCGGTATGTTATCAGCGCTGTTCTCAGACTAAAGCCCAAGCAAAGCACTGCACCAGCTACTAAGAAGGAGAAAAATAACTGTTAGAACTGAACCCAGGACATCCTTCCACTGATCACTTAGTGAAACTCATCTACGTGAGCATCACGAAGCTTGAAGAGGACGGAGTATTTTAATTACAAGATCACAGAAGATAAAGTCAATGTTTTAATTCTTATTTTATTGGGTTTTTTTGTTTTTTTTTTTTTTTATACTGGAACTCTGTTTGCCTTCTCCCTGCAACCCTCAAAGGCACCCGAGGAAATAATGAAGACCTAATCTCTTTTGCTTGGTAAAATATGGAGCAATAAGTGGCTGTTAAGATTGATTTAGGGGCTGAAGTAAAGCACAAGCCTGGGGTAGATTTCACCTTGTTATTTCTCAGGATGATGCAAAGAAATTGAAGTGGGACCTTTTGCAGGCAAATCATATGTGAAATTGGGAAAAATAAGCCTTGGGAACAGCTCTTTTCCTTGGGTTGACTGAATCATTCTGTGGTGTTTCTGCTTCATGTTGTCCCGAACAGCTGGACCAGAATCAGTTACTTTGAATGGATGATCACAGTTAAAAGGAATATATAAATGAAAACCTGTGTACATACTAGTCATATACATTGAAATATACATTCTTCTGAGACAGATAAGAGTCTGAAAATACACTTCTATCTGCCCCAAAGCACCATCAAAGAGATGTGGGGCTGGGATTGATGCCAGAATTCGATCAAGAGGTTTGTGTGCCAGACTGAAATGCAAGTGGGATCATGAGTAATCCACGTAGGGTGGAGAGGACACAAAGGTTGACAGGGCAGAAGTGCTCCCTTTTTCCTTTCCTTTTCTTTACTTTCCCTTTCCCTTTCCCTTTCCCTTCCCACCTTCTAATTCCATTTTGGAAGAAAGTATGTTACTTCATCAGCATATTCTGCCCACATGGCTGAGTATGTGCTTACCTGCCTTCTCCTCCCACTCATAGGTTGGATCTTCTTGTCCAGATACCTGCCTGAAGGCAAAAGTGTAAATGCCAAAGATCAGAGAGGCCAGCAAGCAGGACCATCACTTCAGGTTTTCCTGATAGACAAACCATGAGTTTGCTGCAAAAATAAGTCTGAGAAATAGTCATACGAAAAATTCAATGTTGAAACCCCCCCTTTTTTCCCTTAATAAATCATTACAGCTCAGGTTTTCCTTAGGTGTGCTGGTTGACAGGAAGTTTGACATGGCCCAGCAGTGTGTGCTTGCAGCCCAGAAACCAACCGTGTTCTGAGCTGCATCTGAAACAGCCTCACCAGATTGTACAGGAAGGCGATTCTCTCCCTTCCGTGCATTCTTGTGAGACCCCCACTAGTGTACTGTGTCCAGATCTGAGGCCCCCATCACAAGAGGGACGTGGAGCTGTTGGAGCGACTTCAGAGGAGGCCACAGAGATGCTGTGAGGGCTGAAGCAGCTCTGCTCTGGAGCCAGGCTGAGAGAGCTGGGCTGGGTCAGCCTGGAGAAGAGAAGGCTCCTGAAGGGGAGACCTTAGAGCAGCTCCAATGCCTGAAGGGGCTGCAGGAAAGCTGGAGAGGGGCTTGGGACAAGGGATGTAGGGACAGGCCAAGGGGAATGGCTTGCACCTGCCAGAGGGGTGATATTAGGAAGAAATTCTTCACTATGAGAGTGGTGAGACAGTGGAACAGGTTGCCCAGAGGTTGTAGATGCCCCATCCCTGGAAATATTCAAAGTCAGGTTGAACGGGGCTTGGAGCAACCTGGTCTAGTGGAAGATGTCCCTGCCGATTGCAGGGGAATGGAACTAGAAAATCTTTAAGGTCCCTTCCAACCGAAACCATTCTATGATTCTATGATTTCCCCAGTGCATTGATCACAGGGATTGATTGCTCCTTTGTGCAGAGGGAAGTGCAAGACTGGCTGAGATTAGATTTAGAAATAGGGGATGGAGGAGTCAAATTTGAACACAGGCATCAGTATGGCTCTACATTCACAGTCCCATCATTGATGGTGTCCACTGCACGTCTCTACATCTGGGTGTATATATATAAGCGTTTGACACAGTCTCCCACAGCATCCTTGCGGCTAAATTGAGGAAGTGTGGTCTGGATGATCGGGTAGTGAGGTGGACTGTGAACTGGCTGAAGGAGAGAAGCCAGAGAGTTGTAGTCTATGGGGCGGAGTCTAGTTGGAGGCCTGTATCTAGTGGAGTGCCTCAAGGGTCGGTTCTGGGACCAGTATTATTTAATATATTCATCAACGATTTAGATGAGGGAATTGAGTGTACTATCAGCAAGTTTGCTGATGACACTAAGCTGGGAGGAGTGGCCGACACGCCAGAAGGCTGTGCTGCCATCCAGAGAGACCTGGACAGGCTGGAGGGTTGGGCGGGGAATAACTTGATGAAATATAACAAGGGAAAGTGTAGAGTCCTGCATCTGGGCAGGAACAACCCCAGGTTCCAGTATAGATTGGGGAACGACCTGTTAGAGAGCAGTGTAGGGGAGAGGGACCTGGGGGTCCTGGTGGACGACAGGGTGACCATGAGCTGACACTGTGCCCTTGTGGCCAAGAAGGCCAATGGCATCCTGGGTTGTATTAGAAGGGGGGTGGTTAGTAGGTCGAGAGAGGTCCTCCTTCCCCTCTACTCTGCCCTGGTGAGACCTCATCTGGAATATTGTGTCCAGTTCTGGGCCCCTCAGTTTAAGAAGGACAGGGACCTGCTGGAGAGAGTCCAGCGCAGGGCAACTAAGATGATTAAGGGAGTGGAGCATCTCCCTTATGAGGAAAGACTGAGGGAGCTGGGTCTCTATAGTTTGGAGAAGAGGAGATTGAGGGGTGACCTTATTAGTGTATATAAATATATAAAGGGGGAGTGTCACGAGGATGGAGCCAGGCTCTTCTCAGTGGCAAACAATGAAAGGACAAGGGGAAATGGGTACAAATTGGAACACAAGAGGTTCCACTTAAACCTGAGAAGAAACTTCTTCTCAGTGAGGGTGACGGAACACTGGAACAGGCTGCCCAGGGAGGTTGTGCAATCTCCTTCTTTGGAGACATTCAAGACCCACCTGGACACGTTCCTGTGTAACCTTATCTAGGTGTTCCTGCTCCGGCAGGGGGATTGGACTAGATGATCTTTTGAGGTCCCTTCCAATCTCTAACATACTGTGATACTGTGATATCTTTGTATAATGATTCCCATTCTGTGATCTTGATCCCATGTGGTCCACAAGCTTATAGTAAGAAGTCTGCAGAATGTCTATGGATACATAGTGAACAGTGGAGTGTATAGTGGGTGAATTGAAATTCTGACAGTAAGCCAAGTAGTGCTGTTGGAGCAATATCAGTATGTAGCAGAGACCTCTTGGTCTGAAAAGTGATCTTGCAACAGTGACTGTCTTTCCCCTTTCTTGATATCACAACAACTCCCATGAAAGACATCATATTATGCTTGGGGAAGGGATGATCTTAAGGTCTTTTCCAACCCTAACTATTTGATTCTATGATTCTGTGACATCTAAACCCGGAGAAAGCAGCTGCTGAGGAAGGTGAATATTCTTCAAATGCCACCTATGGCTTCATGTTTTCCTCCCTTGTACTCTTGTCACATTTCCCTTCTGTAGGTCAACTACTAATATAAAGCAATAAAGAGAAAGACAACTTTCTATTGATCTGGAAAATAAAGTGGGAGCCACAAAGTGAAGAGAACAAAAGGCTGCAACTCTATTCAAAACCAGAAATAGACAACACTGCAATGGTGCCTTTGAAAGCTAACTCAGCAACTACCTGCACCTGGACCCTCTCCTACAGGTTGTGGCAAAGGGGAAAGCTTAAAGAAGGAGGAAGATGCATAAAAAGAACTAACTTTGAACTATAAATGTGTCCCAGATCTGAAAGGGATCTGAAAGACACTTACAACAGGGAGGCACAACTTGAAGCCTTGCTGGAGATTGATGGGAGCAATCTTTTATTACCACATGAGGAAAGCATTTGGATTTGATCAGTGGCAACTTAGAGACCTCCAAACTGAATCAAAGTCCTGCTGGTTTCTTGATTTTGTCCTCCTCCTCCTCCTCCTCCTCCCTGTTCTGATTCCCATGAGAAGCCCACCAGTAGCGAATAAGGGAGAGCCCAATCTGCTGCTGGAGTATCTCAGCTTCACCCTATGGGTCTGGGGGGAACTGACCTGATTTGTCATCATGAGACTGAGTCACACAATCTACATGCAGAAGGGAAGTCATAGGCAGTCTGAGCTGATGTAGTTTATTCCCTGAGAGGAAGGAGAAGCCTTGATGAAAGTTGCAGAGAGGTTGTTTTAACTTCCATCTTTCCATACACTTCAGACTCATCATGACTACATCACTACCACTTCACCTCACTGAACTGCATTGTTTAAAATCCCATTGACTAAGTGGTCTTTTAGTCCATACGGAGTGTAATTTAGCATTGACTTCCATTAACCTCAGGGGAGCTACATAAATTGTGCCATTAGACACACCTACCCAGGTAGGAAACTTCTCCGGGGTACATCAGACCCACCTTCACTATCCTCTTTCTTCTCTACCCTTCCTTTAGATGATAGCACCTCCACTGTACTGGAGTTGTGCTGGACTTACATGTTGGTGTAGAAAAAGAAAGATCCATCTTTCTATTTGAAAAACAGGATTTGCTTTCTCTCCTGCTTTCTTTTCCCTTGAAGGCCCAACAGCATCCTGAATTAGGAATGAAACCAAACTGACTAGGGAATGGGATACACGAGGTAAAGCCAGACACTCTGCAGAGGATCAGAGAGATTATTTCTAACGGAAGCTATAAGAAATAAGAAGCAATGAACTGAGCCATCCTTGACATCTTTTCATAATACAAAGCATTGGGCAGCCAGTCAGGTGGAGAGAAAACAACCAACCAACCAATCAGCCCCCCCTTTTTCTTCTTTCCTTTTATTTTTAGCCAGAAAATGTGTTCGGGCCAAGCTGAGGATATCTGTCAGGTTGGTTAGATTCTCCTTTACCACAGCGACACTCTGAAAAGGACACTCCAAATGGGTCACTTCTCCCATCAACCACAGGGTGAGCACAGCAGTGGCTGATTAACAGCATGGGCTAAAAGCCATATAGAACAAGGACGAGGTGAAACCTTGCTCAGAAAGGAAGCTGTGGGAGAAATGAAATGGGTTGGCTGTAATTTTCCAGGAGCCTGCAGCCATGTCTGCAGCAATGAACCCATCAGTTCACAGCTCTGTGTTATGCTTCTGTTCTACTTGCAAAACTGGTCACATCTTTACCCTAAGATAGCCTAGACACAGGCACACAGTTATGTTCAGTCTGTCTGTGAGGGTGGCAGGGAGTTAGGAGAGAAACAATTCACCTACACTGAGGGTGTATAGAGAGAAGGATGACCACGCAATGATCACTACTCTGGAGATTGTTTTAGTTGTGTCACAATAGCTGAGGGAAGGGTGCACATATCACCCAGCTTTAGGTATTTACCTAGATCATAGAATCACAGAATGGTTTGGATTAGAAGGGACCTTAAAACTGATCCTGTTCCAACCCCCTTTAGTGGAAGGGACATCTTCCACTAAAGCAGGTTGCTTCAAGCCCTATCCAACCTGGCCTTGAACACTACCAGGGATGAGGCATTTACAACTTCTCTGGGCAACCTGGTTCAGTGTCTCACCACCGTCTATTGACCTGAATCTATTCAATCTCCTCTCACCACCAATGGGGAGAAACTATAAATGGGATTCATCTTACCTGCGTTCAGGTGTCTACACCTGCACTGGTTTTCTGGCCTCCTGTAAGAGTGGAGATCTAGTCACCAGTCAATAGAGGTAATGCCACAGGTCTGCCCATGCAGGGTAGATGCCTAGCTTCTGTCAAACATATCATACCCTGAACTGGGCTCAGTAAAGAGAACAGAGGTGACTTGCTGAGATGGAGACACCTCTATTGCAGATACCCATTCTAGGTCAGATGGTTTTCACCTATGGAAGATTATTTGGAGAAGATGTTTGGGCTGGTTATGCTGTATCTTTCTGTGGAAGCCTTAGTTTGCTCCAATGACTCCAAAGCGTTA